TTTTTTTTTTTTTTTTTTTTTTTTAAAGATGACCAGTAAGGGGATCTTGACCCTTGACTTGCTGTTGTCAGCACCACGCTCACCCAAGTGAGCTAACTGGCCATCCCTATATAGGGATCCGAACCCTTGGCCTTGGTGTTACCAGCACCACACTCTCCCAAGTGAGCCATGGCCAGCCCTCCGAATGCTGGGTTTTGACCTCTGCTGGGAACCATATGAAAAGAAAAAATCCCTTCCTCTGATTAATTCTGGGAATAATCTTGGGCTAGAGAAGAGAGGCTGCCAACTGCCAAGTTGACCCATGTCTGGAGCTCCCATTTGTGCCCAGTGATCTGCCTGCACCACAGAACTGTCCCACAGGTCTGGATCCTATCCATTTTACTGATGCTAAAACAGAGATGTAAAGTTTTTACTTGACAAAGAGACAGAGCCATGCCAGAGAGACTTCACCACCACATTATTATCGAGCTGTGGGTCCGAAGGGCCAGGATGCCAAAGTTTTGACTTAAGTTAAAAAGACGGAGAACCATGAAACTTTAAAAAAAAAAAAAGAGCTTCACAAAGCTAGAACAATTTGAACATAAAATAAATACTCATGAGTCCATACTCATATAAATAAATAATTGAATAAATTGTGAGAATAGACAAGTCTCCCTTGCAGAAGAATTCTAAAGAATTTATGTAGAAACTCCCCCTCAAGGAGGTGGAGCTAACTCCCATTCTATGTTTTTTTTAATTTTTAAAAATTTTTATTGAATCATAAGTGATTGTATACATATTTTGGGGGTTCAACGTTGACATATGTTGATCAAATCAATATTACTTGTGTATATATTGTTACAGATTGTACTTATTCTTTATGCCCATAGTCCAATCTCTCCCCATCCCCCTTTCTCTCCCCCCTCCCACCTCTGACAACCCTAGATTTCTTCTCTCCTGCTCCCACTCTTTAAATGTGAGCTGTGCATAGTGAGTTCCTTCCTAAGAGTACAATACGGACAGGGGAAAAATAGTAACTTTACAGTGGAAAACCTGACAAATGCTGGCTGCACTGGCCCGGTAATTAATACCAACATCAACAGTGATAAGTCGTGCTGATAGTATGTACCTTTGGTATACAGTCAAAGTGGCACTTTACCTCTGTGGTCTTCCTCCTGAAACCCATAACCTCGGTCTGACCATGAGAAAATCAGACAAGCCCCAATTGAGAAATGTTCTATAAAATACCTGACCAGTCAATGTCATCAATAAAGCAAGATTGAGGAACTGTCACAGCCAAGAGGAACCTAAGGTGACATGACAACTAAATGTAATATGGACTCTTGGGACAGAAAAAGGACATTAAGAAAAAACTAAGGAAATCTAAAGAAAGTATGCACTTTAGTTACTAAAGTATCAATATTGGTTTCTTTTTGGTTGTTGGGGGGGAGGGTGCTGGCCAGTACAGGGATCTGAACCTGTGACCTTGGTGTTATAAGACTGTACTCTAACCATCTGAGCTAACTGACCAGCCCTGGTTTCTTGATTGTAACAAACATTTCATACTAATATAAGATATTAATATGGGAAATGGGGGTACAGGGTATATGGGAACTCTATACTATCTTCATAATTTTCTATAAATCTAAGACTATTCTAAAACCTAAATTTATTAAAAAAAAAAAAAAAAAAAAAAAAAAAGATGGCAAGCTATACAACATTCTAATGAAGCCTAAGTTTTGCTCTGCTCACTGACTTCTATATGACCCTGGGCAATCACCTATCCTCTCTGGGTCTCCATTCAAAAGAAGGCTTGTCTTGACCCAATGTCTGTGTGGTGTGGCCTCTGACAAATCTCAGTCCTTCACTCCATGAAGAGAAAGGAAAACACTGGTGAGGCCAGGTTTGTTGATGTTAGTACACCCCTGATCCCTTCCCCAGGGAGGAACAGTCACAAACTTTGACCGTTCCCCAGGGAGGAACAGTAACAAGCTGTGACCCTGCTGAACACTGAATCCTAACCTCCCACCTTCATCTCCTCTCCTTACTCCCTGCTCATCCCAGAACTGAAAACCTAGGTATTTTGCAGGCTGCTAAGGCAGTCTAAAAATAATCACCAAGAACACATGTGACAGATCAGAACCAAGGAGGAAAACAGGTTGCGAGGTGGGAGAGGGTTTGGAAGAGAGTTCCCCAAATCTTGTCTCAAGACTGCACCCATAAGTATCAGGAGCATGTGCTCTTGTTCAGTCCTAAACCCCGTTTTTTAACAAAAACAGCCACAAAACTTAATTTCCTGATGAAAATACAAAACAGCTTTATCCTCACAGAATTCAAATAAAAAGAGAACTTACTGCTTTCTGCTCTCCTAGGCTTCACCCTGCTATGCCACTGATACAGAGAAGCCCAATTCTAAAAGGATCCAGACTTACATCTCCAGACAGCCTGCAGGCGGGGCAGAAGGTACCAGACATCAGGACACTTACTTCCTGAGTATGATGACAGCTCGGCGCTCCTTGATGTCCTGAGGCCGTATGCAGTGAGTGATTTCATCAGCAGCATATCCACTGAAAAGAAACACAGAACATAAGACCATGAAGAGGGAACACAAAACCAAAGTTCCTGGGGAACAGGGGACAGGAATACGGCTCAGACTTTATGGTCACTCTCTGCCTGTTGTTTAAGAGGTACGAGTATCTACAGGGAAGAGAAATACCACGTTAAGCTCCGGGAAGCTTTTGTCCAGAAACCACCAAGGAAAAACCCGCCATGAGGCAAAGGAGAACCTATTAGCCTTGTAAAGCAAAGGCCAAAGCAGGACTCCCCCTGCACAGGCTGGAAGCCTTTCTCTCAAAGAGCCCTCAGAAGGCGCACCTTCAGTGGCTTTGGAGTCACTGGAATGACTCAGGATAGACTCTGGTGAGAAGACAAAAAAAACCATGTCTTCATTCTCCTCCCCTTCCCCCACCCTTTGGCATGCAGAGGAAGCAAAGGCAGCCAGTGACAGGACTCTTACTGACAGTCACCAGGGAGAACTAGGACTGTCAGGTTCCAAAAGAGAATTTGTCAACTTGAAAAAAAGCTTTCAGGGCTGGCCCCTTGGCTCACTTGGGAGAATGTGGTGCTGACAACACCAAATCAAGGGTTAAGATCCCTTTGCTTCTTTCTTTTCAAAAGAAAAGATAAAAAGAAAAAAAGCTTTCAAAACCCTCCATTTGGGGGAGATACAAAATTTAAAGACAGCTGTGTTTGAGATACTTTAAGAATTTCCAACATACTCAAATATCTATTTATTTTCAATGAGTTACATGATTTTTAAAACTTCTCACAGGCCAACAAATGTGGGTAGATAACTGTCCTCTTCTCAGCTAGCAAGCTGATTTGAAACTCTAGAAGCAAGCTCCGCTTCCTGAGCCCTCACTGGGATCACAGGACCCATGAGATACCCCCACCGCAAGTTCCTCAGATGAGTTGCAGGAGTTCTTCACAGCCAGAAAATCACTAGGCCAAGGCCTAGTGGGAAGAGTATATCTTCTCAGCTTCCTCACCTGCTCAGGATTCCCATCTGCCCCTGGATCACACACCCTTCTCAAAGGCAATTGTACAGACACATGTTTAACTGCTCAAAACACCACAGGCCTTGAAGGGACTCCTTGAAATGGCCAGGCTGGCCCAACCACAGCAAAGAACTGGATGCAAGTGCCAGTAAGATAAAAAGCCAGGCTGTTTCAGGCTCAACCCAGAGAGAGAAGTCCCTCTGATTTGGATATCTGATTTGAGGCTATGCTGGTGGTAGAAGAAAAGAAAGAACCTTTATTTTATAGAACCCCTCTGCTCCAAGCCGGTCCTAGACCAGCATTTTTCAGTTTTTCATCTGAACACCAGTCTCACAAGAATGATAGACACATATGCACAGTCAAATCAATTTGGAATATACTAATTAGAGTTTCAAAAAGCATTAGTATGTCAAAGGATCTGAGAATTTCTACAGCAAAAGAATCTGCTGACTTTTTTTTTTGGTCCTTTTTTTGAGACTGACTGCACTGCGCTCAGCCAGTGAGCGCTCCGGCCATCCCTATATAGGATCCGAACCCGCGGCGGGAGCACTGCTGCGCTCCCAGTGCCACACTCTCCCGAGTGCGCCATGGGCTCGGCCCAGAATCTGCTGACTTTTTTTTTTGGTCCTTTTTTTGAGACTGACTGCACTGCGCTCAGCCAGTGAGCGCTCCGGCCATCCCTATATAGGATCCGAACCCGCGGCGGGAGCACTGCTGCGCTCCCAGTGCCACACTCTCCCGAGTGCGCCATGGGCTCGGCCCAGAATCTGCTGACTTTAACTGAGCACTGACCAAAGAAACTTCTTTCAAATAACACCTATTAATATCAGTCAGCCCACAATGAAAAATGCCACACAGGAGTTGGGGAGTTGAAGAATCTGGGTTCAAACCTCAGCTTTGTCACCTACCAGCTTCATGACCTTAGTTAAGTCACGTGCTCAGCCTAAACCTCAGTTTCTTTATCTGTAATAAGGATATCAGTAGGTTCTTGGGTATTCGCTTTGTTATGCTTTATAACTTAGGTATTCTTATGAGATTTTAAAAAGGGGGACAGTGCCTCCTCCCTTCCAGGCAGAATCACAGAGTTATATGACCACATAGTTGACACCCCTGGAGAGAGGTGGTGAGAAGCCTAACTGCAGGGCTACTGTGAGAATTAAGTTAGATAATGCAGGGTGCCTGCCACCCTGCTACCATTTACTAAGCATTTGACACAAGCAAGAGGGACCTGAACCACCATGGGGCAAGCCAGAGCCCTGGGTTCAGCTGCTGCCAAGGAGACATGATCCAGGGCTTCCCCTACAGGGATCCACCAGCAGAGGCCTCCTGGGCCCAATTCCCAGGGCTAGGAACTCTTGGTCTCACCCCATGCTCTTGTCACTCCACATTGGGAAAGTGGGAGTCTGGGCTCCAAGACAGTACCGTATACACACACGCACATAGAACTTCTCCAAAGAGCCAACCCCAAGCTCCCAAAGGCACATTTCTAAGGCCTGAATCTGCAATGCTGGCTACAGGTTGTTAACAAGTGCTATCAATCTGTTTGACTTGGCTATAGGCATGACCAAGTGCCCTGACTTCCCATCTCCAACAAGGAACCACTTCTCTTAATGCAGTTCTGGAGCAAATCCAGATGTTTGTCAAAGCCTGACTGCCCCCATACTTCCTGCCCCCACCTCCCAAAGGGCTCTAGAACAAACAACAAGCCATGCCAGGTTCCTGCCACTGAGCCTAGGCCTCTTAAAAACTGGTGTGGAGGTAGGACTGCACAGCCCCACAGAAAAAACCTTGGCATTGACCCCACCTGGAGGGCTCATTAGCACTAGATTCTAGAACTTCCTGGCAGCTGTGACACAGCCCACTGACCCTTATTCAGAGTATCAGGCTCCTCTGGGAGTGGGTGCTCCAAGTCCTGACCAAGGGAAGCTCTCCTGGCCAAACTTCAGCAGAAAGTGTCCAGCAGAGACCACAAGAGCATTATTTACTGCTAAGAAACCTACTTGCTATGAGAAAAAGTGCTTAAAAGTCCCAGTCTGACAGTTTAAAACTTAATATACCCTGGGTCTAGCCCTACCCTTGACATGAAGAAAAGTTCCAGTGCCTCCTGCTCTTTTGTTTCCACAGGGAAAGGAGAGGAGGAAATACCTTGGGCTGTCCAGTCTGCCTGCCCCATCTCTGGGCTGAGCCCCCACCCCCGAGCAACAACGACTAGTATGCCACCAGTCCTCTACCTTAGAGTGACTCTGTAGGGAGGTGACACGTCTCTCTCTCTCCCTCTGGGAGGCTTTCCTGACCACCCTAGGCTGGGTTTCCCCTACACCGCTAAACCACACCCTCCCATGTCACTCTACTAACTACATTTGGCCTTGTGGAAATTGTGTTTTCCCTACAAGACAAAACTCTTCAAAGGCCTTACTCATCTCTGCACATAGTGGACACTAAGTGAAATGTGTGTTGAGCTGAACTTTTCACCACTTTGGAACCTCAGTTTCTACATCTGTAAAACAGATTGCAGCAAGCCCTTCCTCAGAGGATTAGGTGCAGGTTAAATGGGGAGTCTGAAAGACTCTTTATGAGGAACTGTGCAGGACCATATATCTCTCCTCTAGGGGACAGAGTTTGGAGATCAAGTTGATAAGGCACATTTCCAAAATGGCCACCTTTCCCCATCTCCTCCATGCCCTGCCTAGGCCAGGATGGACCAGAGATGGAGGGACTGGCCAAGGTCCTGGCCTGGTGACAGCCTCCCTCCAGCTGGGCCCACCTGCCCTGGGCTTCTCCCTTGAGCCTGCCTCATCATAATAGGCCCAGAGGACCGAGAAGTTCAGGCTTTTGGGGGCAGTAGGCCAGGCACCTGGACACAGGGGTGACCTCAAATTATATAGTAGACTCAAGCCTCCAAGAAGACACATGGCCTAACTTTATGAGAAGTCCTGGACTAACTTTATGAGAAGTCCTGGGGCTTTCTGAATCCAGAGAGAAGGAGTTCAACCTGCTGAGTCCCAACTCTGTACACATCAAAGTACAAACAGTAGCTAAATGCAGGAGGCAACTCATCTCCTGAGACACTTTTAGCTAAACTTCAAGGGTTTAGTAATGTGACAGAGACTAAATAAATCTTCTATAACAACTCTATGGTATCATTAACCACATTTTGCAGATGAGGAAAACTGAGGCCCAGAAAGGCTAAGTAACCGGTCCAAGGTCAAACAGCTAAAGTGATGGCACTCGAACTTCAACTAACTTTGCCCCATCAAATGTTCTGCATTTTTTTCGGGGGTGGGGGGTGGGGAGGGGATAGGTAGATAATGAGAGTAGGAAGAAAAGCCTATCTGTTTCCTGGTAACAAGGTCTAATCTGTCCTGCCTTGCTGGCCTCACCAAAGGACACACATGTAACCCTCAGCCCCATGGAAGAGGTGTGCAAATATGAGCCCCAGAAGCTAGCAGCATATCTCAGCGACAGCTGCACACCACTGCCCAGCCTAAAATGCCCAGCCAGCCCTGAAATTGTTATCGCCTATTTATTCTCTGCTTGCTTTGAGCTTCATGATCAAGACCATGGCTCCCTGCTAGCTTCCTTTTCTTTGCCGGCCTCTGTCTTCTTGTCAGGCCTGGCAGCACTAGGGGCAGCCAAACCCCTGGCCCAGAGTTGTTCCTGAAAGTGCACAGCCCTGACTTCATCCTTTGGTTTCTCCTCCTTCCATGGAATCAGAAGATTCCACACGAGAGATGTGGCCCACAACATAACTGCCCTACTTTTCCCAACTATTTTAAGCCAGAAAGCTAAATTTTGCTTTCAACCAACTAAACAAGATTAGCCGTTAGCCCAGAACTGACAAGGGTGCCCTCTCCACCCAATACCAACTGTTAACTGGAAGGATCATAGGCTGAGCTCACCAGTGTGTGCCCCACGGCTGGGCAATACACAGTCATTTCCAGATGGGTGGCCAAGGCCTGGATCTCTGGGCATGTGGCCACCACACCACAGACCATGCATTAAAGGGAGCAACAAGTAAGCAATTAGCCTTAAAATAATTATTCTAATTAATCCAAATGGAATCTATTTTAGTCTGCCCCATTCACCCTGCAGGGAACAGGGGAATCTGTTGAAGATGAAATATGAAGATAGAGATAAAAAGATATTTCCCTGGAAAACAGCATTAAGAAGGGACCCACCTAGGCCCAACATGGGAAGTTTACAAAAAACAATTGCCAACTGGGTTTGGAAAGGAGTTTGAAATACTTCCAAAAGTGCCTGTAAGGCCTTGTTCCAAATGCTCAGGTTTAGACACTGCTGAGTCAATGTTTGCCACGCACCAACATCCATGCCAACCACTTTTAAATATTAAAATTGTATTCCTGCCACGTTGCCTTGATGGGTACAGACATCATTGGCGCCACCAACTGAAGTCTGAGTCAGATGACAATTACTAGAATCCCTCCCCATCTGCAGGGTACCACTGTTTTCATCAGCCTTTCCCTTCTAATCTGCAGCTTTACTGCTTATCACCTCTCGGCTGGGTTCTGTACCAGGAAGTGAGAGAAAGCATCACCTCTCTTACTAGTTTATATACAGGATTTGATGAGGGGCACTAACAGGCAGGTGTTCACCCATCTGCTTGCCAAGTAAGCAGAGAGTACTAACTGAGCATGTGCCAGAAGACTTAAATTAGTGGAGTGTCTAGAACCGTGGAGCAGTGGCTTTCAACTGGGGATGATTCTGTCCCCACACCCACCCCAGAACATTTGGCAATGTCTAGAAACATTTTTTTGTTGTCATAAAAAGTGTTATTGGCGCCTAGCAGGGAGAGCCCAGGGATGCTGCTAAACATTCTACAATGCACAGACAGCCCCACACAACCAAGAATTAGTGAGCCCCAAATACCCACAGTAGCACTGTTGAGAAGCCCTAATCTATAAATTCAGCAGGACCTTCCTCACCAGAGTCTCTTATAAGAGACTAACAATGAATTCCATCTGCCTTATTTCAGTATCCACTCCCACTCTCCCTTTACCTATGGCTATCCCTGCTACAGTTAAAGCAGCTGCTGTTACATTCTTTGTTTGGTTAATTCCTAGTCACCCTTCAAATTCCAGCTTACTTCCTCCCCAAAACTTCCAACACTCCACAGTGGGTAAGATGTCCCCCTCAGTGTGCTCCTGCATTACTCCCCTGGGCTGTAACTATCCACCTGAGGCCTTCACTGGTCTTGAACTCCATGAAGAAAAGAGCCATGTTTCAGGCTCCACCAAATCCTTAGCCCCTTCCCCACCAAGAGAGCAGGAGATAATTAAGTGATTGTGTACAAAAGCAAGCACCTATTTCAGTGCCTACCCTGTGCCAGGTCTTACATCAGACACGAAATCACCACATTTAATTCTAATAGGCTTCGGAAGTTGGCATCATCCCCACCCTACAGATGGGAAAGCCAGTTCAGAGAAAGCCAGCTCAGAGAACGCCCACAAGATCCCAAAGCAGATGAGAGGAGAGCTGGATTCAAAGCCTGGGGCAGCACTTTTCAGGACATGGCTGAGCCTCCCACACAAACTCCAAAGCCAAGTTTGAATCTAGGAGGGGTTGAAAGGGACTGGGAAAGATTTAGGACTTTACTATTCTAAGGAAAAGATGAAGAAAATTTTCCTGATGATGCAATCCTGTTGCTGATCACTAACAGGACTTCATGTTAAGAACTTAAAACTTCTGCTCTTCAGCCTAGGAGTGTACATGTGTTGGCGGGAGGGGGAGTTTCAAAGTTACAAAATGCCTTGTAATCTCTCCATTAAGCACCAGACCACTGCTAGACCTCCTGACAACAACTCTGAGGGCCTATGATAGCTCAGAAAGTTAATATCCCATTAGGAGGCCAAATGATCCTTGTGTGAGGTCCTTTTAATACTGAGAGCCCTTCAACACAGTCAGACCCTAACCCACCTTGTACAGCAAGCCCCCTCGGAAGTCTGCCCTGGAAATCCCACCTCCCCTTTTTCTGGCAGCTAGCCAGTATAGGGATCGAACCCTGGACCTTGGTATTATCAGCACCATACTCTAACCGTGGAAATTCCATCTTAAAAGGCTTTGTAAAGACACCCATCTGGGAGCACAGATCTGAGGAGTAGCTCAGGAGCCCAAATGACAAGGAGGCATCTTATAGGTAGTTCTTTAGGTTTCAGAGGCATAAGTGAGCCTAAGTAAGGCTTCCGCTGCCACTGACTTCCTAGACTTTCCCATAAGGAGGCCTTGGACACAAAGCTCTGGTGCCATCCCCAACATGGAAGCAGCCTCAGCTGTTCAACTCAGATGAGATAGATGACCTGCCCTCATGACATTAAGAGGGCTCCAGGGACCCTGCTTCTCCCCATGACTCACTTCAGAAGCCCCATTCATTCACTTCAGAGGTTAAGCTGCTCATAACAAAACCCCAGTGTGTCCTGATCCTGTACTTGTGGTGGTCAAGGAAGCTGCTCTAAACAGCTGCAGTCTAGATCTCCTAAGAGGTTTTGGGTATTTCTGAGTTACCAGGTTCACCTTTTTCACGACTGGAAGAAAGGAGCTTCCAAATAAATCTTCACTTCATATAAACAGCAAAGATGTTCCAGAAAGCAATCTTCTCTTGGGGCAAGGGCACTGAGCTAATTCTCAGCAGGATCTGGGACTCAAAATAGGCCAGGAGCCTAGGTCCTGCTGCTCACCTAAGTACAAGGCCAAATACCAGGTCAAGAGACCAGCTGTATTTTGTTTTATTTGGTCCTGATAAGAAGTAACACGTCATTACAAAGAATGGCTGGGTTCTTCTGCAGCAAAAAGGGAGAATTTTAAGAGTGTGTTGCACTCTACTCCTGACCCAAACACTAATCTGTTCAACTCCAGGTAAGTCATTCTCCCTCCTGGGAACGGAGAACAGGTATCAATTAAATACTCTCAGGAGCCTTTGCCCGTGAGTATTTTCTCTGTTAAAGAATCTAAGAATGGCAAAGCAATAAAGACTTTTAAACAGTAAGTGAAACATTTCTTTTTAAAAGCATGGATTTAGAAATGGGAAGCCCAGAATTTAAAAGTGACTTGCTTAAAATCGCAAAGGGAAACAGATCCCTAACATCTCAGCCTTCTGGAAAGACGCCTTTAGGTTAATTCTCAGTAAAACCCGTGATTGCGTCAAACCTGCTTTCGCATACAGAATTCCACATAGGTTCCTGACCCGTTTTCTTGCTACACGTGTTTTAGACTCAGGCCCCTTACCTTGTTCCCACAACCTACAAACAAAAGAATGAGTCAGAACTGTAAAAAAAGCACGGGCTCCTAATGGCTGCTGCCTCCTGGGCTAGAATGGATAGCTAAGGCAGCAGGGTGCAAGGCCACCCCCTCTTCCCAGGTGAGTTACCTGAGCACAGTCACGCTCCCCCTGCGCACCGGCAGGGAAAGCACAGGTTCCGACACTCGGATAGGCTTGAACTGGAACTTGCAGCCGAAGCAGAGCGCGGAGTCGCTAAAGAAGGACACGGACACGATGGGGCGCTCGAAGATGTGGATGGGGTCCACGTGAGACACGATGCAGCCGCCGGGCTGATAGTCGTTGATGACGGCGCTGTTAACGAAGCCCTCGGGGATGACGCGGTGTTCCACGAGCTTCTGGATCACCAACTGGTGCACCCACTCGGGGATCTCGTCCACGTCGCCCGGAGGGTAAAGGCGCTCCTGGCCGGGCCCGCGCTTCTGCAGCTGGGCGCCGTAAGTGTAGCCCTCGCCGAAAAAGTACTTGTTGCGCAGCGGGGCCCGGTCCACCGTGTGCTCGTTGTACAGGCCCTTCTCGGCGCGGGACACCACCTCGTCGATGCGGGCCTCGATCTTAGAGCACTCGTCCTGGCTGAAGAGGCGCATCTGACGGATGCCGCTCTTCACCTTACGCGCCTCCTCCTCCTTCTGCAGCTGCTGCTCCTCATAGTCGCTGCGCTCCGGGTCCGAGTCTTCCTGGTACTTGCGCTTGGCCCCGGACAAGGGGTAAGGCTCGGCGGCGGCCGCGGCCGCGGCGGCGGCGGCCACAGCAGCGGCGGCGGCGGCGGCTGCCTCCCGACTACCCGCCTTATAGTTATCCCGGGACGTCATGGACTTGAGCTTTTCACGCAGGTCCGTATAGCCGCTGGCGGCAGCCATGGCCCCCGCGACGCTGCTCTAGGGTCCTCCGGGGCGGGCGGGCATGGCTCTCGGGAGACGTGCCCCGGGGCTCCCGGAGGTTAGAAGGTCCTCACCGCCCGGTCCCCATCCGTGGCGGCAGGACCCGGCGGGGGGCTTCGAGAAGCAGGGCGCGGGGTCGGGGCTCAGGGACGGCGGGTCATGCGGCGGTGGCGACAACGGGGCTTCCTCCTCCTCCACTTTCTCCACGTCTCGCGGGGCAAGGGCGCCAGCAGCGCCTCATGCCGCGGAGGGCTGCTGCAGAGGATCCGCCCGACTCCCCACCAGACCCTCGGACGCCCGGCCCGGCCCGCACTTTAAAGCGCTCCTCACGACGTCACGGGCCGCCCGCCCGACGTCGGCCAGCGCTGCTCCTCAGTAGGCCCCTCACCGCGCACGCGCAGTGCTGCCGGACACCGCGGCTCACGAGCTCCGGGCATGCGCGTGCGTGAGGACCGGGTCGGCAGAGGGACCAGCGCAAGCGCAGACGCGGACGCCCGTCGTCTGCCGCCCCTCCCCCACTCACTGAAGAGCTTCAAGGGAGCTCTCTCAAATAGCAACCTGCCTCCACGCCGCGCCGCCTCCGGGACGGAAGGGCTTCCTCCTCAGGGGTGCGCTCACGCTATCAACACTGTCGCTCGGCCGCGTCACGGCATCGTCCGAACGTCCATCGACACCTCAGTCCCTCAGCGCGCAATCACCGGGGAACCGCCACAACCCAGGCCGCCCCGTTACCGCCCCCTTTGGCCCTTCCACTTCTTTAATTGGGCGGCTGGTCAGGCGCCGGGTGGGATCAGACCGGAGTTTCCGGAAGTCGGTTGGTAATCATGTGTGTCAATCGGGCAGTCTCCTTGACTACTGCTTCCGTCACTTAATTAGCGGCGTAGAGGCAGCGAGGACCCCTAAAGGGTGAATGGGTGGCTAAATAAGTGCCTGAATGGATACCCAATCGGAGGAAACACCTCGGGACCTCTGAGGAAACTCCTGAAACCAACGGAAACTTCTCACACTGTGGGACCGAGAGCACCGAGCCCCGGCTCTAAACCCAGACGGCGACGGCCGCTGAAGCTGGACGCGCATTGTCGGGGCACCTCCCTGCCAGGCGCCGCCGCTGCTGCCCGGAGCGGACGTTGGGCGAGTCACGTCCCGGTGTAGGCGGGAGCGTGCGCAGCCGCGGGGGCGCGCCGGGGGTTGGCGTCGCTCGGCCTGGAGGTTGGCTGTGGGTGTGGGAGCATCTTTACCAGGAGCGACGGAAAATAACTTGAGACGAATAGGCTCGGGCATAAGGCGCCTATAGACAATGATGAGAGACAATTCAAAAGTTTTGAAGCGGTGGGGCCGGCGGGAGCAAGGGCGTGGCCGTGCGTGATGCGCTGGGCGGCTCCAACAAACGGGTTTCTGCCCCACAACCTCCCATGGCTTCCCAGGATAGAGTTCCACCGCTCTCCCCTGTTCAAGACCCTTCCGGAGGGCTGACCCGTGGCTCACTTGGGAGAGCGGGGTGCTGACAACACCAAGTCAAGGGTTCTGATCCCATATAGGGATGGCCAGTTGGCTCATTTGGGAGAGCGTGGTGCTGACAACACCAAGTCAAGGGTTCGGATCCCATATAGGGATGGCCAGTTGGCTCATTTGGGAGAGCGTGGTGCTGACAAGTCAAGGGTTGAGATCCTTCCGGCCTTGCCTCTTCTCCACTCCGCGTCCACTGAGCTCCAGCCTCGCCCTTGTTCTGCCAGGTCTACAGACATGCCCTGTGCCACCCCTGGTCTTTGCCCGGGCTGTTTCTGCACTCTGGAGCGCCAGTTCCCTACCCCCATCTTCATTTTGATTTTTTTCGAGGCTCAGCTCTCCTCCGTCTAGAAGCTTTCCCAAATTTCCACCGAAATGAAATGCATCGTCATGACCTGGCCTCAGCGGCTGCCTTCAGCCTCACCTTCCTGTCCATTTTGCTCGCGGCTAGTGCTCGCCACCCCCCAGCTTGCCAAGCCAAAAGCATGGTACTCAGGAATGTGACAAACACGGGTTTGAGTCTTGACGTCATGACAAGCTGTGTGACGCTGGGCAAGTTACTTCCCCACTCTGAACCTGTCTTCTGGTCTGTAAAAGGGGGAGAGCATTAGGAACCACTTCATATGGTTGTCATGAGGGTGAAATGAAGTCATCTTTGTTAAGCAGGGGGATTGCCTCCAGTATGGGCCTCAGTTTCCCCATCTGTAAACTGAAGGTCCATCAGTCTCTGTTGGAAAGTGGGGGTTGTTGTAACTTGCAAGGCCAGACCAGTAGGGCCTGTGCAGTGGAAAAGCCCAAAACCTGGGACCCTGGCCACTGTCCCCAAGTTCCTTGCCTGGCCATCCTCCCTCCCAAAAAGCAGCAGCAGCATGGACAAGGGGAAAATGGGGCAGGTAGGAAGCCTACAGTAAATTTGTCTCCTACCCTTTCCTGGCTCAGCCTAATGGGGTGCAGGTGGTGGTGATAGGAAGGCAGCTGCAGGCAGTGAGAAAGTGGCCAGTGGGCAAGGCCAAGGTTAGGTAGCCTGGGCTCTAGCCACAGTCCTGCCTAAGCCATATTATGTGAACATCTGGTGAGGACCCCCTTACCTGCATGATGGGCAGTTTGACTATGAGGGCTCAGACTCTTCAGAAGCCCAGTACCCTCTAACCTCTAAACTGCCCCCCCATAGGGTGGCATCAGACTCTGTTCACACACCTCCTTAACCAGGAGCTCACTACCCCCATAATCAGTCCTCCTAGAGACTTACCCTATGGAGCCACCTCCGCTCATTCAGGCAAAAATGTGAATCATCTCCTCTCTAGGTTGAGACCTTCCCATCCAAGATACCACATAGGAAGCTTCCATGTGTTCTTGCCTGACTGTGTGCTCTTGAGCCAGGGCCCTCCCCTCTCTGAGTGTCTGTGAGGAACAGCGTGGATTCCAGAGCCAGGCTGCCTGGGTTTGAATCTTTTTTTTTTTTTAAAGATGACCAGTAAGGCGATCTTAACCCTTGACTTGGTGTTGATAGCACCACGCTCTCCCAAGTGAGCAAACCAGCCATCCCTATGTAGGGATCTGAACCCGTGGCCTTGGTGTTATCAGCACCACACTCTCCCAAGTGAGCCACGGGCTGGCCCTCTGGGTTTGCATCTTCAATCGGCCACATGCTGAATGTGTGACCTTGGGCAAGTCATTTCTCCTCTCTGGGAGTCAGTTTCCCCATGTATACAATGATGATAATAGTACCCACCTCATTGGGGTGTTTTGAGGATTAAATGGATTAGTATATGTACAGTGACTGGCACATAGTAAAAACTTGGTAAAATTCGCTTTTAGGGCCAGCCCGTGGCTTACTCGGGAGAGCATGGTGCTGACAACACCAAGTCAAGGGTTAAGATCACCTTACCGGTCATCTTTAAAAAAAAACTCGCTTTTAAATGTGTGTCCATCCCAGACATCCATTGGCATCCTATTCTAGACATAACAATGACTACTTAGAAAGCACTTGCCCTACAGGCCGGCCCGGTGGCACACTGCTACAGTGCGCCGCTTGAGAGCGTGGTGGCGCTCCCGCCGAGGGTTCGGATCCCACATACAGACCGGCCGCTCACTGGCTGAGTGAAGTGCGGGCGCAACACCGAGGGTTGCGATCCCGTTGCCGGTCCCGGTCCGGTACGGGCGCGACACTGAGGGTTGCAATCCGTTGCCAGTCACGAAAAAAGACAAAAAGGAAAAAAAAAAAAAGAAAGCACTTGCCCTAAAGCCTCTGTCAGTGCTTTCAGTTAACAAAGAAGGAAGCAGAGGCTTAGAGAAGGCAAGCAACTTGCCCAAGGCCACACAGCTAATCAGCAAACAGAAGTGGAATGTGAACATAGGCCTCTCTGGCTCCACAGTCTGGGCCTTCAACCACCAGGCCAACATTCCCTTAAGAGGCTTATGGGTCCTGGGCAGGAGGAGGCACACCCTGGGCACAGGAATGCTGGGTGGGGAGTATGTGGACACTGGAATCTGGTCAAGCCTAGCCCTCTGTCCCACCTGGGGGTAGCAATGATGTCATTTCAGTTACTTTTTAGTGCCCCCAAATCATGGTGCATCCTGCCATAACCATCTAGGACCCCCAGGCCTTCATAAGCTGACTGTCTCAGTGTCCCATGCCTTGCAGACATTTCTCCTCTATTGTTCTCATCCTGTGTTGAACTGGGAACCCTGGGGTCTGGTCTCCTCTGCTCTGGATTCCCCCACATCTACCTGAAGTTCCTGTCTTTC